AAAGTTCGTGCGGTGAAAGTATATCACCAAGGAAGGATTTATATTAAAAAAATCTCACAATAAACTCAAAATAATTACTTTTAGAACTTAGTCCCATGACTTCAAATGTAGTTTGCAAAACATTACATTCTTTCTATCAACAAAAATAAACCCAGGTTATTGCAGTTACAGTCACTCCATCTGGGGTAAATATTTGTATACAAGCTAGGGTATGAATAATTCTCATAATTCCGTTCTTATTTATAATGATGTACAGACACAGTAGTTCATTAAACTTCAATTAATCTATTACAATTATGGATAATTACAAAACATGCAATACACAGTCAGTTAATATATAGAATTTCTGTTGGCTTAATAAACAGAGAAATACATTCTAAGATGCACTTTTAAGGAGAACAAATATCACTGTAATCTCAATATAAATTAGATGGACCACCAACTTTACAAATACTTTCAATCGAAACTAATTATCATAAATTCATGAAATAACCTCTGATTTTGTAATGTTCACAATTCTACTTTTCAAGCTCCAAGTGATTGATTATTTGATTATTAACTCCAGTACTTGATTACGACATGTGAGTTTAGATTTGGAACGCTAATTACTTTATAATAGTATCTGAACTCTTCGACAATGTTACATAAATTAAAGTTCCGAAATCTACTGGAATTAAAGATCAACAAATCAAAAACTGACTACCAATACGATTACAAGTTGGCTAAATCAAATTAAATTACAATCTTCAGCTTTATCTCCTCTCCTTAATACAACCATTAATAAAATCCAATTCATAAAAGTTTTTACAATAAAATAGTAATCATTTGAAATAACAACATCAGTCTTCATTGAAATGCTACAAGATATGAGCTAACATGTTCTCTTACAAATAACCATAAACACATTCTTGTTTTACATCAATCGAACAAAACGTTCTCTAGCAAAATCAACAATTACATTATTTTAAGTTTCGAATTTCAAATCAAACAATAAAAATGAATCTATATTGTTTCAGTATAATTGACAATTGTGGGCTGGCTTAACCCGATTGTTAACCCTAGAAAAAATCTTGCTGCTGGTCAAATAAAATCATCCAAAAACATGTTTATGTTTACAAAAATGTATAATTTTCATTTAAATATAAACAGACTAGTTTCATTTCAAATATCTAATTTAAATATAAAGAGAAAATGTTTGAAGAGAAAGATTGTTGCAATTTGAGCATCGGCTAAATTTGTAATACATCTCCATCCACCCTCATTAGTAGGACAAATGCTGTGTCCATGTGTAAACAAAAATATACTACCCATGGTGGGTCATTAATTTGGTTTGCAATTAAAATATTGTCTAATTACCTTTGTAAGAGCAATTCTGACTTAATAACCCTGAGTCAAGGTTACTCAGAAGGAGGAAGTAAATAATTCAAATAGTGGCACAAATATTTTAAAAGCAATTTGCTACAGAACAACATAGACTGGCAGAAATAAAAATAAGTAAATGCCAAGACTTGCAATTATCAATTGACATTACCTTACACTGAGGAATGACGAGATAAGCAAATAAACAGATCGGTAATAATTAGCTTACCAAACATTACCCAAATTCCAAACTGCAAATTATAAGCATAAATAAGATTTTGAGTCTTCTTCAATATCCAAAAACTGATTTGGCACAATAGTCATTTTGAATTGCCAAATAAATAAAAAGAACATAATTCCGAAAAGAAATTCCCCAGTACTATAAATTGTCAACTACTGTTGACTTTATAGAAATTAAAAGGATGAAACAATTACAAATCACACAGTTTTTCTCTCAATAATGACTAAGAGGTAATCTAATCTAATCTTTTTAGTTGCTTATCTCCAACATACAATTTCAGATAAACATAGTGAGATTTCATCTACTAAATAGCACGATTCTACATAGTTAACACAGCCAAACCTCCCCTATTAGAATGGACATGCATTGCATACCGTCCACTCTCAGCCACGAGCTGTGAAAATTAAGCAAATCATTACCATAGAGAAAATGCATCTAAGACTTCATACATTAGCTATCATTGATTCTAAATGAATTTCCTCCTTAAATGTCAGAGCAATATTTTATACAATTGCAGGTTCGCTGACCCCACTTGTGAATAGCCATCAACAATAATTGTCATAGAAATTAGAACGCCAAATAGAATTTACAATTAAAGCCAATATTAATTTATAATGAAATGCAATTTGACAATTGCAAAATAGATATTAACACTTAATTGTCGATATGCAAAATATCACTTTGGAATTCCTGATAATCAGACGAAATAAAGTGAAAGTTGCATTGGTAGTGTAATGCCACTCTCAAGAATGAAATGAAACCATAAATGTTCACAGTAATGACAATTACAACGTATCAATATTATTGATATGAAGAAATTAACAAAAGTCATCAATTATTGTCAATAAAAATTGGCACTGAATACCAATATTGATAATTGACAGTAATCGTCGAAAATGCTAGCAACTGTTCAAATAGACCGCCAATAATGAAAAGTGAAAGTTGAGTGCTGAGTGCCAATTTTGGAAACCAATAATTGTAAATGATTGTCATTAAAGTTGACAATGTGTCAATATTGATAATTTACAACTGACAATGTTAGACCTAAAGTTGACAATATGTCAAACATTGCGCCAATATGTAAAAATAAAAGTTGACAATATGTCGATATTGATAATTTACTAAAGTTGACAATATGTCAAACAGAGCGACAATGTGTGAAAATAAAAATTGACACTGGGTGCCAATATTGTCATGGTAATTGTCAATAAAGATCAAAATTGAAAGCGAGGTAATTTCAATTTGGCCCCAAAATGCCAAATTGACTAAATGTCAAATTGACATAATTTCAAACCGACTTAATGTCAAATTGACATGCTAAGCTAAATCATGTTCCTTACATATTGAAATTTCTCTCCTCAAAAATGCCAAATTGACAAAATGTCAAATTGACAAAATGTCAAATCGACAAAATGTCAAATTGACTAAATGTCAAATTGACATGCTAAGCTAAATCATGTTCCTTACATATTGAAATTTCCCTCCTGAAATGCCAAATTGACAAAATGTCAAATTGACAAAATGTCAAATTGACAAAATGTCAAATTGACTAAATGTCAAATTGACAAAATGTCAAATTGACATGCTAACCTAAATAATTTTTCCTTATATATTGAAATTGCTCTCCTCAAAATGCCAAATTGACAAAATGTCAAATTGACAACATGTCAAATTGACATGCTAAGCTAATTCATGTTACTTACATGTTGAATTGAAACTTCCCTCCTATGATAAGAGTGATTTTGTTGACAGTCGAAGCACCAAAAGTAAAAGTGAATGTTGAATGAGAGGAACTCAATTTATACCTTCTGAGAGGTTGGATGAAAGTTTAATGGCCGCATAAATTAATAATAACTGATCTAGAATGTCAGCAAGATTCTGGTGGATGAAAGGTAAATGGCTGCATAAATTACAGATAACGAATCTAGAGTTTCAGTAAGAATATACAACTGACCCTAATTAATAATACTGATTCAGGTAAGGAGGCTAGACCACAGACAAAAATTCATTTTTGTAACAATATAGTACTATATGGAGATGTGAAAAATATTGCATACACTGTATGTTATACTGTAAAAGGGGTGAAAAATGCTGTAAATGGTATAAGACTAAGGGGCTAGTGAAAAATAGTGTATATGGATTTCCAAGACCCCTATAACCCCCCGTTTCATGTTTGCTTTCGTTTTTCTCAATTTGATTTTAGATTTAAAAAGTTTTGAATTACGTCAGTCCCAGTGAATTGTATTACCTATTTTACCAGGAATATCGTCGAAAACAGAATTGTATTTCATTTGGAATTAAAGTTTTAAATAAGAGACGATTTTAAAAGTAATGTAAACCTGACCAGCGTGTTTTATCATTGTCCGGTAATTGGCCGTAAATATTTATTAATTCTAAGTTACTCATGTTCTTTCAGGTCAAATACAGAGAAAAGTACACGTTCATTTAGTTTTGGAATTATTTCCTAAATTGAAGTTGAATTCTGTTTTTTAACGGTGTGAAGAACATCTTAATCGGTCTTATATTCTTAGAGAAATCGTAACTTGAAAAGCGTAATTTTTGAGAGCTTTGTTTATTTCCTGCGGCCGCAAAGTTCACATCAAAGTCTGATTGACAGGTTAGCGGTGATTTATACAGTCTTTGAAGTGTCAATGTTTTGACAAGTTCCCAGGGAGTCATAACCCTAATTATACATGTCCCCGGGCCAAGGGTATAGACCAATCATAAACATGCGCTTAAAACATGCGCACACATCGTGGGGGAAGGATCATTTTCTATTACCGCATTGGCGCGTGGCGCGTTAGCGCGTAGCGCGTGTTTTCATTATAACCCACTTTCCACAAAAGAATTGAAGACTACAACGATATGTAACCACCTCTTCCTCTCTGTGAGGAAAAGTGAGTGCATGTCTGCATGTAATTCATTCTAATACAAAACAGCAGGATAACAGGTATTGGCTTTTAATAATGAGATGGTCATATGTGATGCAACAGGATTGAATACGACCAAATGTAAAATAGAGAGAAAACAAGACTTTAACGAAAGAAAAGTAACATTAACCATGGGCAAGTTAAACATATTTGGAACCAGTTAGTGCAGATTTTTTCAAACATTATGTAGCCCATTATATGTCAGCCACTCATCAATTACGAGTGTACATGTAATTGATGAGTTTTTCATATCTTTATACCAGCTGTACAAATATGCGTTGTCCTATAACCCAGTGTGCTTCACCATACACTGTAGCTCACAGCTGATCTACTATTTCAGGCTACACATAATTTGTAGATGTTGCAGCCGAGGCCCTTGACCTGGGCTGAAATCCCGGGTAAAATTATTTTAAAATCATGTGCAGATCTTTACCAGTTTGAGCACTTTTAAGTGATTTTGGAAAGATTTTTGAACCCCCTTGACAAAAGCTGGCTACAGGCATGCAGCCGTCACAACCAACACATAATAAGGGACTCAGATGACACATCAGTTGAGTAAGCTATCCCAGATAAAATGTGACCTTTTACTTTGAGTGTTTACTTATGGAACTTGTCCCTTTTCTCCTATTATTCCTTCCAAGCGTTGTACAGGCATTAATTCATATAGTTCATATTTAACGTTGGTAATCTTGTTCATATTTTAAAGCTCAGTCAAGATGAGAAGTGGCTTTATCTTCTATATATGTTTCCAGGCCTGTATCATCAAGTTCTCTGGACCATGAGCGATCCTTGGCTTTCCTAAGGTATAGCACCACTTGGTCTTTTTTTACCTGTAATAGAAAACAATTATTGCAGTTTACTAAATGTCAAGGGCTCTCATCATTGGTAGTGACATAAAAACTAACGCACATGTATGTACAATGTTCATGTATTTTAAAGTTTCTCAGCAGACAAAAAAACTTCAGCTGATAAAAACAGGGCATATACAGTAAAACCTGTTTACAATGAACACCCATGTATCCACAAAAATGTGTTCACTTTAGCTAGGCATTCACTACAGAGCTATGCAAAGGTCAGTGGAGTATGTGTTGAAAAAGGTGTTCACAAAACAAAGGTATTCACTATAGAGAGGTGTCCACTGAGACAGGTTTTACTGCAAAAATGTAAAAATAATTGTATTGTAATCAAATCATTGTATGTCTATGGTTTTTATGTTGATTATGCTTATTCACTTTTATAATATTAATAATATTGAAACTAATAACTTTCTTTCAAGTATATAACATATCTTATCAGTTTGAAGTCACACTTATTAAGTAACATACATTTCATCTTCAGAATTGAGTAAACATTACATTGTGCAGCTGTAATCATATCTAACTAATACACTCAAGAGCCTTATAATACTGTCATATAAATCTTGAAATAATGACAAACTTCGGCTATTTTTGAAGTATACAAATCAATAAAAACATAAAAAGTGAATTGATTCCCTCTCTACAAGAGGTAATGTGTTGAGGTAAGAAACAGAGTATGTAATTTGATAAGGGAAATGATTCGCCTTTTTTGGATTACTTTATCCAAAAATTAAATTGAAGCCCCTTGTCCACCAGTAGCAATGTTCCCCGAAGCATTGAATTCATGGTTTTCTATACAAACAATAATTCTGTACCATACACAGTCACAGCCAATAACAATAGACTCCTCATTTATTTCTTAGAAAGGATAGTTTCATCTTCGCACGCTCGGTCTTCACTGCGTTCATCGACCGACGGACGAGAGCCGAGTGAATGAAGCTGGGATATTTTAGCCTTACCATATATTTCAATACAATCATAAAGTATGAGGCCTATATTCCAATACAAAAAGTGTTTATTGTACCTTAAAGCTACATTTCTCTGGCACTATGGAATCAGGTAGTTGTTTGATGTCATACTTGTATTTTTCTTCCTTTTTATCTTTTTTAGATTCATCTTTCATGGTAACAAGTATACAAAATGATCTGAAATAAACAAAGCACACAAATATTTTGACATTATTACAGGCAATTAAGACATAGCATTTCTTCACAACACAGTACTCAAAGTCTCCTCAAATGATTTCAAAACTGCCGTACTAAATGAAATTAAGCAAACTCATTTTTCATTAACTCTATGTTCAGTTGTTGTGCATTTATAGGATGGTATTCTGTGTGACACTTTAAAAGATAATATCACATCTGGAAAATGGGACAGATGGCAGACAATTTCTGCTGGAAAATTCAAAAAATCTGGAAGATTTATTTTTTTAAGAAAAAGTTTACTGCTGAATTCCTGAATAAACAGTTGCATGGTATGGTAAAAGTGTTAGGTGTTCTATGATTGTTTCTGAACTGATACACTTCTAAGATTGCAAGTAGCAAAATGCGTATATATGAGAAGAGTATGCAATTTGCTTACTTTTCCTCAAATTTGGTGTCTATTGTTGCATTTGAAGCCTTATCTCCAATGAGTTTCTTCTTTAGACCAGGGATAATTACAGTCACTCTCACTGTGCCTGAAGGACCATCCTCATCTGCAGTTGCTGAAAGTTATAAAACTTAAGATGAACTTTTGATTTGTGCATTACATTGACAAAAAACAAACCTTCTGATGTTAAATGTAACAGTCAGTACATATGCAGTACATGTATTTTGATATTTATACTCCCTCCCCATGGAAATTAAATGTGCAGTGCAGGTGTGATCTGCAGGCCCTCTCCCCATCCCCCTTGTGTGTTTTAAATAAATCCACGATTTTCTGAACAAAAAGTCATTCAAAAACTACTTTTTGAAATTAAAAAAAAGTTTCACGTATCACACTTTGATAACATTGGGTAAGACTACAATTTAAGCCAAAGTGGTTTAAACTTTATATGGGGACTATACTATCGAATAGTAGTCTACATTAGGGAGGCTTTAATGTCTATTTAGTGCTCGACAGATCAATTCCTTGGCTACTATATTAGGGAAAAATGTACAACTTCGTCTTGAAACTTGAACTTGAAGTTTGGTAACCCTGCTAGGAATGTTAGATAACCGGTCACCCGGTTTTTTACACAAACCCGACTCTAACTGAAGTTGATGATGACAGCTTCAGTTGTAGCCTTTCTAAGTGTAGATGTGGATCCACGGCTCTAGTGACTTAATTGACAATCGGAGTTTTGATAGGGCCCAGAGGCGCATGAATGCACCTACAGTGTATTCTAAGTGAAGCTGTTTTCTTTAAAATTCACCAATATCGCAGTTGTTAGAGCATTTCTGTGCCGTTGTTTACAATCGTAGCATATTACATTGTAGTTTAGCTGAAATCGGAGGTGTGTCAAAAATGACGAAAGAATTTCAGCAACCATCTTGAATGACGCTAGCTGCAGTTACTCTGAGTCATCCACCTACATGGAACAGTGAATATATCGAATTGGCCACAGTCAGAGAGAATGTTTCTGGCGAAATTCTGGGACTTCAAATACTTTTGGTATAAATATAGTTCCAGGGCAATTCGAAGAACGTATTAGATGTCCGTGGAATTGGCTAGACTCGAGTGCAACTCCTGCACAGGTCATATGACATTCATCATGAACATTTTTGTATACATATAAATGAATCAGATCTGACAAAAGCATCTCATATCATAGTGATTCAAGTTCCTGTGCTCTAGCCAATTCGATATACTGTAGGTCTACATGTCACTGACATTCAAATTGAAAAAAGTAAAATTTTCAAACAATTTTGATTACACAGCAAATGTGGAGATTTCGATGTAAATGAAAGTAACCGTCATATTACGTTGTTTTGCAGTGTAATTTCTGAAAATCTGTTTCCGAGCACAGCATACATAAACTACTTACTTCCGAGTGGATGTCTAAATTCTTTTTCTTCAGCCATGTTGAATGGCGACACCTATAGCACTTCCTGTTTACTTCCGTGTTAATGTGTCTATGCGGTTCATTATTTCAACTCAATATGGTCATCAAGCTCATTGACTCATTGAAAAGAAAGAGGTCATTGAAAGTTAGATAACATTCGTTTACATATTATAATAGGATTTATTAGTACTGATGCCCTTTTAGGGCCAAACGTACATCCAATATACAATTTTCAATAACAGTAAATATAGGCAATAAAGTAAAGAAAATAGGATTACATTCTTCAAATGACATATAAAATGTTACTTTGATATAAGAATCCTGTCTCTACCCATCATTAGATACTTTATCATGTCAGCAGATTCTTTTAATATGATCCCCTCACTCGTCAATAGAAAAATTGTCTTTTGGTGGTCATTCATATTTTTAAAATTACGACACAGGTTTTCAAGTTTTTCAATATGGGATTTTCTGATAAACTCCAATTTTTTACATTTGAATAAAAAGTGTGTTTCATCTTCTATAACCGAGTCCTTGCATATTTTACAAAATCGACTATTAAGATCAGTAATTGGTTTTGTATATCGGCCTCTCTCTATCTCTAGATTGTGGGCGCTTATACGTAATCTAGTTAAATGTTTAGCATTTGAAAGTGTCGTTTCTGAAAGGTAGTGTTCAAATCCAAAGTGCGATTTTAGTTGTTTAAATAATCTAAGTTTCCCCCCATTCCCACTTATCAGATTCTTCCAATATACTTGATATCTCTCTATTAGTTTCTTTTTGACTTTAATAGCAAGCCTATTTGTGCTCATCTCTATGTTTACCCTATCTTCAAGATTCAATTCATCAGACATTTTTATTTTAATATGGCACAGTATATTTTTGAGTTGTTTGTGCCATGTAAATGTGTTATTTGTTAAATCAAATGTTTTACTCATAATTAATGAATCGTTTAGTAAACTCCCATTTGAACTCAACTCTAAATGACCGAGGTATTTGATTTGTCTTTTTATAATATCAACTACTAAAGGTATTCTTCCCAATTCTCCTCTTACTGCCATGTTTGTGGCTTTTCTATGGACCCCGAGAACATATTTTTGGAACCGAATATGATTGTTTTCAATTAAAGCACTTTCGTATTTCTGTTCAATATCTCGATTAGTTTGGCAGTCACGCTTGGTATATAAATCATTACACCATATTTCCGAACCGTATAAAGCGACGGGTTTGATAAGTTGATCATACAATTTCATTTTCAGTGAAGACTTCATCTCTGTGTCGCTTGTCAATTGATAAAGTTTAAACATGGCTTTATTTGCTTTTTCTTTTATGTTTTGTTGGGCCGGTTTAAAAGATCCCGAAGCACTTAAGACAATTCCCAAATATGTATACCTTTGAACATTTTGTATATTCTTACCATTTATTTGAAATCGTTCTTGACAAACTTTGCCACATTTCCAGAATTTCATAATTTTTGTTTTGTCAATGTTAATTTCAAGTTTCCAGTCATCACAGAAGGATTCAAGAGTGTTCAGTTTTAGCTGCATTCCTTTTTTACTAGTATCAAATATGACTAGATCGTCTGCAAATAGCAAACTGCTAACATGTTGAGTTTCAAGGAACGGAGATTTCCCAACATTATCAAACTTTTTTATAATATCATTTATATATATGTTAAATAATAATGGACTGAGCGAGTCTCCTTGTTTTACACCCCTATCACATGAAAACGATTCCGTATAAGTTGAATGATTAAGTTTTACACACGCCGTGGCATTTTCATACATGGTTTTAATGATTTTGTAGAAGTGCCCTTTAATTCCTGACTTTTGTAACTTATACATAAGGCCTGTGTGCCATATCGAATCAAATGCCTTCTTTAGGTCCACAAAGCAGGCATAAAAATTACTTTTATTTTGATGAACATGTTTGTCAATAAGAGACCGAATTATAAATATATGGTCGGTCGTTCTTGCTTTCTTCATAAAACCTGCCTGGTTTTGTGAAATAATATTATTTGATTTGACAAAAGCATAAAGGCGATTATATAGCACATTGGAGAAGATTTTCGATAAGCATTCCGAAATAAATATGCCACGATAGTTACCTGGTATTCGAGGGTCATTTTTCTTGTAAATTGGTACAATATAGGATTCATTCCACGATACTGGGTATTGGTTATTACATAAGTATTATCAGGATATTTCTTAGGCTATTTACACACATAAATACCAAAGGCTAAGGAATAAAAAATAGTTGAAAAACAGGAAAATTGTAAGTCATGTGACTCTGTTGGCAAGTCACGTGATATCGTTCAAAATGGAGAATTGCGGAAAGAAACAGCAGATTAAATTCGTGTTCTTTTTTCTATGTTTTGTCGCTATATCTGAGTGCCAAAATGTTCCAAAAACATCACAAAGATATACAGTAAACCTAGATTTACCTGCAGGACAACGATGGGGGCATGTATTGAAAGAACACAAAGGTTCAGTCATCGTAATGCACAACATGTTGAAGTAAGAGTTTCTGTTTTTGTTTGTTTGTTTGAGACCCTATCTACTGCAAGACTTACGCCTGGCGTAACCGTCACCATGTTATTCAGTGTTTTTAATTTCGCAAGGATCCTGCCATGACCGTGCTAGTGTTGTCGTGAAAGCCCGTGACAATGCTGTATTACATACTATATTGCAATGCCTGCCATGACCGTGGTAGTGTAATCGTGTAAGCCTGGCGCGACCGTAACCTTTACATGTATATGACATTTATGATTACTTCCTGCGAAAGCTATTTGGATTTTGATATAATAGCTTTCCCACGGAGCATTTGGACAGCTCAATGATCGTGACCTTTGAAATCGAATTAAGTCGATCTGCGGCTTACTTTTGGTCTCTTACTGTGTCTTACATCAGTATCATCAATCCGTATAAGTATTGGAGCGCTGGAGTACTTCTTTTTCGATCAAGACTTGTAATTGTTAGTCGAGTGAATCGTTTTACTGCCAAATTCCAATATGGCGGTTTCTGCTCGGACATTTTCGTAAATCTCCGGAGGTTGTCCGAACCTAACTAATTCTCAAAATTCATTTCGTTCGTTGCGTATCTCGCACCTAGCAAACCGCCATATTGGAAATAGGTCTGTAAAACTTTAACTCGATGAACAATTTACAAGTCTTGATCGAAAAAGAAGTACTCCAGCGCTCCAATACTTACACGGATTGATGATACTGATGTAAGACACAGTTAGAGACCAAAAGTAAGCCACGGATCGACTTAATTCAATTTCAAAGGTCACTATTGATCAGCTGTTCACTTCTCCGTTTGAGAGCCATAAGTTTCAAAATCTAACATGGCTCTCGAAGTGAGTAAATTTATGACATTCATGTTTCGCCCGTTGCTGTTATTATTTTTTTATGGATTAACCTTATTAATTGATAATTATAGAAAGTATGAGTTAAAAATTAGGGTTTCGTTGTGAAATTAATACACATTTTTAGTAGTCTTGATTTACATATTTAAGGTAGTTGAACACGAGGAAAATTGTCATTACGGTGTTCTCAGGCTACTTTAAATGTTGTTTAATACAACCACGGTCATGAGAGGCCTTGCAACTATTGTCACGGTCATATCAGGGTTTAACCCTACCACGGTCATGACAGGCTTTAGAATTGTCACGGTCATGACAAGCCTTGCAATCATTATGACGGTCATATCAGGCTTTAACATTACCACGGTCATGACAGGCCTTGCAACCATTGTCACGGTCATATGGGGCTTTAACATTACCAAGGTCATGACAGGCCTTACAATATAATACAGCGTTGTCACGGCTATACCAGGCTTACATGATAACACTACCACGGTCATGGCAGGATACTTGTGCTAATTAAAAACACTGAATAACATGGTGACGGTTATGCCAGGCGTTAGTCTTACAGTAGATAGCATGTGGTTTGTTTGTTTACATACATATTTTGTAAAGAGATTGTCCTTAGCTTGTGGATTTCTGGAAATTTGGGAATATTTCAGATTGATCCAATTAATGTGTGACATGTGACAGTTTGTTTATGTCTAATTGGCGAAAGGCTGACTTTTGTACTAGATTACAGTACTAGTCTAAAGCATGAACAATTTACATGTACAAGGAAGCTATCGAAGTGAAACTGAAACCCTTAACCCAGGAACTGAAACAAGGATGTGAATTACTCATTGTTTATTTAATGTTATGTTAAAAATAAAAATGGGTGTTTTAGTACTGTATTTGTAAATGCATTGGCATTGGTGGGAAGGGGGATAGCATTGGGGGCGACCCCCCCCCCTTTTCCCAGATCTTTTTAGATTTGAAACCGAGCCTAGAATTGAAAGCTAATTAAAGTCAAAGTGTAATAATGACAGAAATGATACTTTGTCATAATCTAGTCTACATCAAGCATAGAAGATCTCATTTCTCATATTATATTGAATTCTTTACCATATGTAGTAACTTTCTCAGGAGCCCATACAGTGCAAAATGTACGTATATTATAGGAAAAATCAGTTTTTTAGTCAAAGTCAAGCTAGTTTTCTAAAAACCCATTTTTTCTTTTTTTTCATTATTGGGAATATTGTGCTGAGATCTGGCTGTGATATGTTCAGAATGCACCAGAGTCAGAGGGTTTCCCCCATCCACACTTCACGCACGACCCATCCAAAAGTCGCCCCCTCCCTTGGCAAATCCTTCTGACACCTCTGACATGTACATCTGCTTTAGCAGGGACACTGCCAAGAACCTGAACCGACATATACATGTACATGTCAATTGCAGAGAAAGTCAGTGTTACCGTACATGTACATATCTGTGATGTTCATGTAGGTGGGGCTTTAGGTGCCTGTTGATCTTACCCTTTGGCCTTTGATATACAATATTTACAAAATGTACTTTATTTGCAGACATTTCTGTAGAAAAATACCTGTTGATTGGTGTTTCGTGTAAAAAGTAAAGTTTGAATAGTGCCATACTCCCCCCCCCCCCAAGCTGTAATTATCACTTAGCATCTAATGTATAAGCTGCACATATTTAACAGTGATTCCCTATACACATTTCTAGACATTACCTGCCAGAATGGACAGCTGAGTTGGTGGAAAAGGTTGCTGCTGGGTTGGATAGTTTCTTACCTGAACCTTATGCTAGTGAGATCAGAGGTAAGGTTCAGACATTACATGTATGTTATGTATCAGGCATACATTAACCAGCGTTCTCCCCCAAAATTTTTGGCTCACACAGTGAGCCTATGGGATCGACCAGGCGTCCGTCCATTGGTCCGTCCATCCGTCCGTCCATTGGTCCGTCCGTCCGTCAACATTGGCCGCACAAATTAAAACTGCTATTCGGATTGAGTCATAGCCACATTCATTTTATGCATATCCATAATGCCTATTTGACCTATCATGGCCATTTCCCAAGTTCGCCCGTTTTCCGAGAAATTGCGGATTTTGACGTCAAAAAGACAAATTTTCTGTAAATACTAGACACTTTGTTGAAGTAGAACTTTCAAATAACTTTTAGTAGTTGCTGTATATGCAACTTATGTCCTCTGAAGATTTCAAAGCTCTTGGAATTACAGTTTTTGGTGTTTACTCTATAAAATTTGACAAAAAGTAGGACTTGGTCATTTTCAGGAAACTTTCTCATGCATAAAGTCAATGGCAGGTTTTGTGATTGACAAGTTTCTCAAAGTTTGCCTTATACTTGATCATTTCTTGCAATGAATTACATCATTACTAGATTAAAGCATTCCCTACATATTGCTCAATATATGTCAGCATCAAATTTTTACCATTTTTGAGATATTTGACGTCAAAAAACAGTAAAAATAAGTTATTTTTCAACTTGCTTCAATTTGACCAATTTATTTTTGAAAATCATCTACAAGTTGCCAGGAATTTAAATCTGACATTAGTTTTAGGATTTGACCTTTAGTTGACCTTTCAGTGACCTTCGAAAGGTCAAAAAAGTTGATTTTTCAAATTGATTTTAGGATGTAAATTTTGGTCAGCTTAATCACAAAAGACCTTACTGAGCTCTGACTAAGTAAAATTTTCAAGGTCAAAGGTCATCAAACTAGGTCACACAACTATGCTATCTAAGTTTCTCAAAGTTCGAGACTACAAATCCAAATCAATATTTTTGTTTGAAAGTCGGGATATACATTCTTCTGAAGGTTCCAAACTGTGTGAGCACAGGACCGTGGGTCCTTCACACACCCGGTGATCGTGAAAATGGGACGGAGGGGGGAGCAAGCAATTTCTGGTAGAAAAATGAACAAATCTGCAAAAATTATTTTTTCAAGAAAAGGTTTATGATTTAATTGCTAAACGAATAGCAATATTGCAGGTTGTGTAGACCGTTGATGCTTGATTTAAAGCAAAAACATTGACTTGTGCACGTTGGTGGCGTTGCGCCTTTTATAATATATCTTATATCTTAAAAAAAATTCGTAGAATACGCGACATATTTTACCATACCGTGCGCCTATTCGTTTAGCAATTAAATCATAAACCTTTTCTTGAAAAAATAATTTTTGCAGATTTGTTCATTTTTCTACCAGAAATTGCTTGCTCCCCCCTCCGTCCCATTTTCACGATCACCGGGTGTGCTTCATTTTAACTGGGTGCAATTTTCCCTAAAAAATCGGCGCTCGCTATGCTCACAATATCTCCAGGTGGGTGCTTACTTCACCCATTCTTTCAATCAGAAGTTGGAGTGCAGGGTGCCAACTGGGGGTCCTTCGGTTTCAAATAGAGGAGGGGGGGGGGGGCTGGTAAAAAAGACATGGGGAGATCACTGATTATTGAAATTGTGCACCAATTTTTAACACACTACAGTGCATAGTGCATATGTACATGTAGTGCATATTATATTATTCGATTCATATAACATTGAATATTTATTGTTCCTTGTGAGACGGCCGTGTGAGACGGGAAAACTCACACGGTAATCAACCAATCAGATTACTGGAATTTTACAGAGCATGTGATAAATTAGTGTACATGTACATTATAACCACCTTACTTGAATACTCAATTGGGCAGTGAACAAACAATATACAGTAAATGAACAATTTTGTACAAATTTCAAATTTAAATTCAATAAAACCCTTCACAAAAGCAATACAAGGGATTTTGTTACATGTAGTTTTGTTAAAAATTATGTTATGGTGTCACAACATAAATCTTTGGGATTTTAAATGAGAGCTTTTTTCTGCAATGCATAAATACATGTATATGTTTAAAAGCATGAAATCAGTGACCATACAAGTTCATGTATGTGGCACTAGATAAATAAATATTCTTGAAAAGCGTTTGTGAACAAGGAAAATGTGTTCACTATTCACAAAATCCTTTGTTTTGGTCGAGTCATTAATAATTGTTTGTTTAAATATTTCAGGTATGGCAGAAGCTGTTGACATTAATCTTGGAGATCTGGTCATCGCAAATATAGTTTATGACATCACTGCGTAAGTAAGACATACCGTATATTTGAAGTTGACAATTATTTGATCTAAAACAATATAAGTATATCTTAAAAAAGTTCAATATACTGTTAATGTACAAAATCATGCACAGTAAAACTTGTAAAGTGGAACACCTCTGTTAATGGAACACTTTCCCAAGTCCCAAGACAACTGACTGAAAGTTAAATAAACTTCGATAAGAGGAACACCTCACAAATGGATCACTTTAAAGAGGTACCAAAGATGATCAACTTAGAAAACTCAAAAAACTTCACTCTTTTGTAGGTTTTGTACAAGTACTGTTGCACAGGACTCATCAGGACACATATGGCACGCCAGGAATCTAGATTATGGCTTTGCAGAATCATTGAAGAACATCACCATAATGGTTGATTTTACACGGGGTGGTAAGGTAAGCTAGCATTGAAATAGAATCTTGAATTTCAAAGAGTACATGTAGCTTGATTGAAAAACAAACTCTTTAAGTATGAACCTTTGATATTGTTCAACTCATGACATACATGTACATGTAGAAAGACTTATGAACATTTTTTATTGCATTTGAATACCATTGGCATGTACATATCAAGTATATATCTGAGATATGTTGTGATGCATTGAAGACATAATGCTGGTCAAGGAGAAATCTTCATGAAACAGGTATATAAAAAACTCATTTTTTTACTGTCACATTTTAGGTTGTATATTCGTCTACAACATATGCTGGTTATGTGGGGATCCTAACAGGGCAAAAGCCTCATGCTTTTACTGTTTCACTGGATGAGAGAAGTAAGTATGGTACCCTACTTTATATTACAGGCATATTTTTTCAGAGAAATTTTTCACTATTTTTAAATTTTGGAAACTTAGGTGGCATTTAATGTGCTAAAAATCTCAGTAGGTTTGGGATACATCTGTTATGTACCATCGATTTTGGATACAGAGTTTATCCCTCAGAAATATGTGTAACTTCTATGGTTCCTGCAGTCTCTCGGGAGATCACGTGATTCTCTTATAAACCCTGTATCTTCCATTGAATAACCCTCACATGTATTATTGTAGGACAGGGGAACATATATGTGATAGAGAATATTCTAATGCTGCTATTAGATTACAAACATGGACTTATGAGCTTCTACATTAGAGATGTATGTATTATCCTTTTATATGCACTTTACATGTACAAGGGCGTTTTCAGTCAGGGGGTGCGATTGTGGCATAAACAAGCCAAACAAATTCAGATTTATCTTGAATTTTACAAAAGTTGATGCAACTTCCTTCAAAATTGAACCAGCAGCTTCAAATAAAAAGCATTTTAAAGCTCTTTCCTTCTTCTATCTCATGTCATGGGGGGGGGGTGGAATCGCAGCCATCGCACCTGGCTATGCCTATGCATGAATCATATACAGTAGAACCTGCTAAGTGGAACACCTCACAAGTAGAACAGTGTATTTAAAGTCCAATGGCCTATCTATTACATGTTAATGAACCTCTGTAAGTGGAACAAATCAGTAATATTACTTGCTCAGTGGAAGAGCTTTTTGGCCAGTAGAGTGTTGGAAATGTGGTTAAGATTGGATTTTTGGATACAATATTGTTCACGGACTCTTTTATTGTTTGATATCAATAGCTCAATAATGGCCAGTCATATTAACAACTCCCACGTGGAACACATTTTAGAGGTACCAAAGGTCTTCCACTTATACAAGTTTAACTGTATGTTATTTAGGTGAATATTTGATATGTGGAGTAAGATAGCGATTTGATAGGTGCATGGCACACAGTCTTATGACACTTTGGCTAATAGTAGTGGCCATTTTTTACATGTACCTGTGTTTGAGTGTGTTGAACTTTTATATGTGTCTACTTAGAAGCATATTAAACTTTCTGATGACAATTTGGCCAACAGGGGACCATTTTGAAAATGGTGGCTATTTTAATTGTATTATTTTACGATTTTTGCTATGGCTCATTGACTGTTCGATGTGATTTGCTATGCTTTTGCAATGCTATTATCTAGTTTGATTTAATTCAATTTACCTGTACAATCTAACCTATCTCTAAAATTGAAATAACTTCCGGGAATAACTTACACTCTCAGTTATGAATGAATTTTATTGAAAATGTTTGTGCAGAAACAGTGAAGTGTTTATAGTGACAAATACATGAAAATACATCTTTGCAATCAAGAAAAACATTGTTTTCCATTTAAAGACATCCTCTTGTATAGGATCATCCAAACACTATATCACATGTCAGTGATCTCCCCAGGATTTTTTCTCAGGTGGGTGCAAAACTCTCATTTCACAATTCAGACCAAAATTGGTTGAAATATGCCAATTTTTCATGATTTTTCTCATTTTCAAGTGGATGCAAATGAATTTTCAGGTGGGTGCAAGCCTATTTTCAAAATCTCAAGTGGGTGCTGCACCGTACCCACTTGCTTTAATGCTTGGGAGATAACTGTATGTGTCACCCTGTATTGGAAATGTCCACCACATGTCAATATATTCCAATTTCTGTAAAACAGAGAATAAGGAAAAGTTTCTTTTCATTAGCTTGTACAAAGAGGTAAGAACAAATAGAAGTGAAGTGCTGATTCTTAATCAAAATGCTTTATTGAACACCTTGCTCTGTCAGCCATGTTTCCTCCTTTAAGCTTATTGTCCACTATGATGAGTTTTATTTTCCAATTGCATGTCAACCTCCTTGAGGTTAATAAAGAGATTGAGGACCATTGTTCTATTAATAAATGATGCATGGCTTTAGGAAGGAGAAATTAAAATCTTGGCAGGCAGTTAGCTTTTCAGCATTTTACAGTCTAATTACATTATTCATTTGCTCTCAAGTAGGTACTCTGCCAATATTTTATATTCTGTTTATTCAATATCAGGACCACATGAAGCTTTCATATAGGGGGCTTTAAGTTATGAGAGGGGTGCTCTGATTTTTAAGCTTAATTAAAATGTGACAAATTAGTCAATTCAGCAAAAAACACAATGAGAGCCATTACACAAGATATCTGTGAGGGTTTAGTCTTTGTACATAATCTGCATATATACACCCATTATATATTGGCATAATTGAATTATACATGTATGTGTATATTGATATTTTTAGGTTTTTGAAACAACAGCAAACTTCACGGAAGCTGTCAAAGCACTTGCAACAAGACCTTCAGTGGCGCCATCTTATGTGATAATAGGTGGCGTTCTGCCAGGTGAGGGCGCTGTCATCACCCGTGGTAGGCTTGGAGCTGAGGATGTCTGGTTCTTGGATCCCAAGGTTGGAAGGTTAGTATAACTAGTTAGAGGAATTACTTTTGTCTGAAAATAGATGTCACTGCAGCAAATATTCCCAACAATACACTGGAGGTTGAAATGCTTTATTGAATACTAGTATATGATGGACAATTAGGATGTTTTTCTTGGCTCAAAAATTAATTTCAGTGTATTCTAAGAATAAACTGGCCATTTGCTGTTATTAAAAGTGAAGTATTAAATAACAATTTGACTGTTTTTTAATCACTTTTTAAACTGCATGTCATGTGTTTTAATACAATAATGCCTTAAATATGGTAATTCGATCTTATCGTATAATAGATCAAAGCCAATTGGATATATTCTTGCTTTGTTTCCTACAATGTTAACACATTTATTTCTTAAATTATTTTGTAATTGTCTGTTAGAACTGTATCAAATTACAAAACACATACAGTATGATGGGCCCTAAAAATGACAAATGGCCTTTATAAAAGTGGGAAAAATTGGTGATTTAATCAGGCTTCAATTTTTAAAAATTGTTGATAAAAAAGGCCTAATGATTTCTCAATTTTGGCAAACATTTTTTAAAGTGAAACATTTTGAAAAAGCCAGTTGATTTATGTGTATTCTTCACCAAATACATGTATATCACTTGATTTGTGTTTATATTTCGCCTAATATGGCACTTGACTAGTTTTTAACATTGCCTCAATGTGTCACTTGATTTGTGTTCAAACATAGCCTAATGTGTCACCTGATTTGTGTTTATATTTTGCCTAATGTGTCACTTGATTTGTGTTTGTACATTGCCTTATGTGCCATTTGCTTTGTGTTTTAATTTATTTTAATTTGTCACAAATGATTTACTTTGTACATTAGTTTCATTTGATTGATGATGTAATGTTGCCTTGAATTTCAGATGGTTTGTCTTAGAGACAAATTACGACCATTGGAAGGTTCCCCCTAAAGATGACGACCGAAGGTAAGCACAGTGACAGCTTATTAATTATGCTACATGTATTTCCTAGCAAGTATTAATCCTCCTTAGTCACCAAAGTGTCACATGAAATTAAAGGTAAAGTAAAATTATATTCAAGGTTAATTTTGCCCATGTTAACCAGTGACAGATTTTCATTAATGGGGGATGTAATATCTCATCCTCATTCACATCTGATCATTATCTACTGTATAATTACCCCACTTGATCATCATTGGTTGTGTCCTGACAGGAGACAGGTTTGCAATAAATTTACACATTTCCTTCTATTTGAACATTTTTAGACAATTCGATGAGATTAATATCCTAATGTCATTCAAAAGTGACAACAATTATACATAAATCTTTATATAATTCTCCTTTGGGATGAGCTTATACAGATATCTTTATGCATATCTTATAATTTCATAAATACCTAAATCTTAGCAGTCTCCCGTCCCCACTTGATTTGAATCTGAAGACTGTTATATTGCTTTTACCAAGCTTTTGAAGGGTGCCCTCTTCAGTCGCAGATCGATCAATTTAATTTGAGCCTAGCTACAAGCCCCTGTTATCCCCTCCCTTTACACCTGACAACACACCTTCTCACACAGGTGGGCGGTTTATAGTGGGAGGGAGGGTCACAACTTCACACAGGCTTGTAGGTAAATGTTCATGTGGACTAATAAATTCAGACCTAGCTCATGCAGGGAATGATAACCGACAAAATGAATGTTATGAACCTGTCATAAAACAACCAGGTCTCACCATATATACTTAAACAATCACATATAACTGTCTTATTAAAGTACAATTTTCTTGATGTTGTAAATTCAGTATTTTGACAGATGCAGTATATACCTCTTTTCAGAAAGACAAGCCTGATACCTTTATAAGAGACAAACATTTTAATACAAAATATTTAATGACTTTTGAATTACATGATTTTTATATGTGTGTTTTCCAGAGATCCTGGCAACAAGGCTATGCAACAAATGGGCCGGACAAACATTACAGTGCAGGCACTGTTCAAGGTCATGTCAACAAAGCCAGTTTTAAATAAGTAAGTACATGCATGGCTTCCAAATTAAACATAGCAAATCTCATTTTGAGCTTTTCTTGAAAGTCAGTGGTATTATACTGTTCTTAAAGATTGGAGGCAGTGCATTGTGAACTAAATCATTCCTCGAAGGGTGTTGTTTCAACTTTTGCACGAAATGCGCAGCATTGAGTTTAGCTTAGGAAACAATGCCTGAGTGGTAATGAATCGGCCACAATGCATCTAGTCTTAGGCTTCAATTCATTTCACATAATGCAACATTTAGTATACACTATCACTTAAAAGATATGAAATCAATTAAAAGAACACTTTTTCAAGGAAACTGGTTCTGGATTGTGTACGTTTTCCCTCTAAATCTAATAATTTTCCATGTGCATGGATATATTTTGAGATAAATAAATAAATTGGATGGAATGATAATATTTATATCAAAATGATAAATACTTATTGCAATTTCTACATGTTTATGTGCATCCATCTATTTTTATTATATTAGCTCACATGGTGATCTATTGCAATCACTCACTTGTCCGTCCGTCTGTCTGTCCATCCAACCGTCCGTCCGTCCGTCCATCCATCTGTACGAAATGTACAATATGTACATATGTAAGCCCTGCAGACTGCGGGCAATACATACTACAAAAGATAAACAGGTATTGCCCTTCATATAATGAAATATTTGCTTACTACAGGGTACATCTTGATAAATCATGATAGATATCTCAATAATTTTTCTCAGTCATGAGATGCACTAATGGTATTATGGGTTAGATTTTCTTGATCTGAGAGAGCATGTATTTTAAGATCTTTCACAGCTTATCTTATCTTCCTCAGCTTATATTACATTTTAATAAGAGTTGTACGTAAAATTTATGAAGATTCTATCACCTGAGCCTATGGAGCTGTAGGGTATAATTAGAATAGAATACAATGCCTATTATGTAATATATGGCCATTAAGGGCAGTAGTTACACAACAATGAACACACATATCAGTTGTAACTTATTAATCAGGAGGCCGTTTCCCATTTCTTATCTTTATTAACGAATCGTTTATAGCAAATCGTGGAGTCGTTTCTATGCACATCGCATCGTTAATGGATTGTCCTTTCTTGATGAGCTTTGATAATTCTTCTTTATCGAGTCAAGAAATGATAATTATGAGAAAGTCGCATTATATCAGAGCTGTTTCTAGTAGAACAGAAAGATATGTGATGAGTAGCAGAATGTATTGCAGTCTTCATTCCATTTCTTTGGCCATTCCAATTAGTGTTTATCTAATCAGTAGGTACAGTGGCCCGGTACAGTGGGTAGTGGGATATGGTTTCATTTTAATAAGCACACACCCATTAAGGTTAATGGAAATTCAATGCCTTTCTTTTATACATGTACCATTTCCATTATTAGATAGCAGAGAATAGATGGCGCTGACTGTACTATTTTGTCTTTCCATTTTGTCTTTCCATCCTCTGAACACAGGCCTCCAGAACTAGTACCTTCCCTCCTTCTTCCAAGAAGGAAGGGGGAGGAACTTAGTGGATGATGTCTGGAACCCAATGTTCGGAGGCTGTGTCTTTTTAATTGAACTGATTTAGTACATTTTCTCTTTTACAAAATATCATCATGAATTCCAAAGTATCCCATACATACACGTAGCTATAAACATCAATGTTCTCCGACTCTAGAAATCAAATCATTAATTTACAGTTGATCCCTATTTGATTATAGCTATTATATCCTCTTTGATCATTTAATATCGTATCATCTGAGATCAAAATGTTATATTTTCTAGTTTAAGGTTATAATTCAGCATAAAGAATTGATGTTTCAGAGCAATAAAATGTCTTGATTAGAAATTGATTTTTGTAATCAGTTTTGCTTGAATAAACAAACCACAGTGTGCTTTATTTCTCCAAATGTTATCACAATCATGATATAGAAGTGACATTTTACACCTGATGAACGAACAGCTTTACATCATCAATGCTATAATGTTTTTAAGGAAGCAGTCCTACTGAGTGAATTAATGTTGAATTTTATTCAATATGCATGAAACTTCATATACATGTAGCAGCCAGCCCAAATGAGATCATTCAATATTTAACACAACACAGTGACACAATAGAATAGACTGTAGTTTATTTTAAATTATGAACAGTTGTAATAAAAGAAGAGTGTATTCTTTATTATTTTTAGTTGCTTGACACTGACAGTAGTGAACTGAGTTAACTTAAAAATTATCCATATTATCCATGTTTAATGTCTACACTGTACCTGTACCTGGACATTTGTTGCAGCTGAACTAGTTAACCTACTCAATCACTCATCAACTCACTTAATCTCAATAGTTGAAAAGTCAATAAAAAACAACAAATTTTACAGGTGAAAAGAAGTGCTTGTTTAAATGGATCATGGTTTATTTACATTTCATAAGAGTCAGTGTGGGGTTTAAGTTAGATAATTTGACCTCAGCCATTATTTCGCCCAAGAGCCATGTAGTACAAATGATACTTAAAGTTTTCCCAAAGATTTCTTCCATTGTAGATACTAATATTTTGAAAAGTTATTAGGGAGGCTTGCTACAAGACCCATTCCTCTACCCAACCACATGCACCCTTCTTTGGGGTTGACCATTGTTTTCAGCATTTTGTTATGTGAAAATAAGAGATGGTGTAGCAGTGGTATGGACCTCATACAATTGATACAAACATAAGTTCAATCAAATGTCAGTTTTCATTTGTTTGTTGAAACTAGTTGATGGATGAGCATGCATACAGGCTGAGGGACTGGCAGACAGAAGAATGAACAGATGGGAAAATGCTTGCTTTCATAGATAGTTTACATGTATGTGAACCAAAAAATCCATGTAGTGTTTAGGAAATACACTTCAAAACATACCTAATACTGTAAAATTCATACCTCAAATCCTTTTGAAGTCCACAGACTTGTTAGCCAAAAGGTTAAGCCATTAAGAATTTCTGAGCTGTACTATATTTCTAAAGAGATATGAGCACCTAAGATCATACACATCAAGCATACCCGGCTAAATGTTTGGAATCATAAAGCTGGTCAAAGTAACTGTAATAATCCAAGCTAGTGTCATTCATTAAATTTCTCCTTGTAAAATTGCTCATCAGTCTCTTTATTTTAGTAAAACAAATATATTCAGTTAAAGTCACCGTGTAATATTAATGCACAAAACTGGTCATTTATACTCATAAATTTTATACTATCTTGCAAAGATTAGACTCTAATGATATTGCATAATGGCTAAAATAAACAGCTTTTTTCAACGTTCATTAAATGTAGACATCGGCAGTATATTAAGAAAGTGGATAGCTACAAGAACTCAATGAAAGGATACTGTATGCCATGTGATCATATCAAGATAAGTATGATTAAATAGTGTCAATCAGAAAATGATGATTGATAATGATAAGTCATCACAAATCATACAGTCTATTTCACTATTAGGTCAGAATGTTACCAGGTTACTGGATGTGTGTAACCTTCCATGTATGCCAGTTAGTATTATGAATTTATCTTTTTTTGTAGATGTTATATATTACTATTTTAACAATATTTTTTTATCAATATGGACAATGTCATGTAAAACCTCCATCGCCAAGGTCAACTGAGACATTGTCTGCCATTGTAGCACATGATTACACTCTTCGATCAAGGTCAACTGAGACATTGTCTGTCTGCCATTGTAGCACATGATTACACTCTTTGATCAAGGTCAACTGGGGCATTGTCTGCCATTGTAGCACATGATTACACTCCTTGATCAAGGTCAACTGGGACATTGTCTGCCATTGTAGCACATGATTACACTCTTTGATCAAGGTCAACTGGGGCATTGTCTGCCATTGTAGCACATGATTACACTCTTTGATCAAGGTCAACTGGGACATTGTCTGTCATTGTAGCACATGATTACACTCTTTGATCAAGGTCAACTGGGACATTGTCTGCCATTGTAGCACATGATTACACTCTTTGATCAAGGTCAACTGGGACATTGTCTGTCATTGTAGCACATGGTTATACTCTTTGCCCAAGTTTAACCAGACATTGTCATGTGGCACATGATTACATTCCTCGCCCAAGGTCAACTGGGACCTTGTCTCTTGTTGTTGCACATGATTACATTCATTGCCCAAGGTCAGCTGGGATATTGTCTCTCTTTAAGTAGCACATGATTACGCTCTTTGCCCAATGTCAACTGAGACATTGATTGTCATTTTTGCATGATAACACTCTTTACCCAAGGTCATCTGGTACATTGTCTGTCATTGTAGCTCATTATTACTTTCTTTGCCCAAGGCCAACTGGGACATTGTCTTTTATTGTAGCACATGATTACACTCTTTTCATTGCCCAAGGCCAACTGAGACATTGTCTCTTGTTGTAGCAAATGATTACACTCTGCCGAATGGAAAGTGGGACATTGTCTTTCATGTGGCACATGGTTACACTCTTTGCTTAAGATCAATCAGGACACTGTCTGTCATTTGGCACATGCTCACTCTCTTTGCTCAATATGGGACATTGTCTTTCATTGTAGCACATGATTACACTTTGCCCAAGGTCAACTTGGACATTTATAGTATCACATGAATACACTCTTTTGAAGACATTGTCTACCATGTAGCAATAATTACACTCCTTCTTCAAAACAATCTCCAGCTTATGCAAGACACCTTGGAAAATTGTTAAGACCAAGGTAAAACATCACGCCCTACCAGAAACTCTCACTCTAATTTCAACTTTAGATATGGCCACCTTCTCAAAATCTGCAACAATCCTCGCAAAGTCAGAATCAAGGGCTTTGGGAGCAATAGTGACGACATTACGAGTCAACAGTGGTTTAAGTTATGAGATTCCTCTTTGCAATGATATGCTATTCATTCACAGTGGGTCAGAATCGGCTCTGCTCCAAGTTTTAGATATTGAAAAAATCAGTGCAAGGGATAAGTGCCAATGGTAGTTCCTCTTACT